ATTGTGACTTCATGTATCAGTAATCATGCTTTGTACTCAATTATATTAGGCTACAAATTTATTTGCATCTGTATGGTTTGTTGCATAGATACAAGACTTCCAGTCATTTTCTATTTTTCCCTGTCAGTAACCATTTATTGACTGTGGCCACTTTGTTTAACAGCAAAGTGTGAACGTTATGACATCCATACTGACACGCAGGCAAAGATTTGCAAGAATTATAACTCATAAGCAATAACTGCTACTCAAAGTAAAAATAAATCAGGTTATAAAAACAATAAATAGTCAAATAACACTGTGAAATATAAAAGCCAAAATTACTGGAAATAAAGAAGGAAGATACAAAGCTGCAATTGCGAGATGTAAAGTCACATAGCAAGATTTAAAGTCATATTACAACAAACTGGACATTCTCAAATTGTGAGATTTAAAGTTATATTGGGAGAAATAAAATTGCAATAAGGAAAACAATAAAGTTTAAATTGTGACATGTCGCTTACTATGAAGCAGGTACAGACTTCCACATTAATATGGATCAGGGTCAGGTATCACTATAAAATAATGTGAATCTTATTCAGTGTTCTAATGGTTTAATCAAAATGAATTTGATGGCACTTAATGTTATATCTTATTGGTAGATTTAAAAGATATTTATACTTTTTGAGTCAGGTTTATAATAAGCTGCTTTATTTGGGGATTTGTGCATATGAAAAAAATGGTATGAATTATTAAGTACTAAAAAAAATCTAGAATGTACAATTAACAAACACAGAACATTTTTTCAAAGGCATTTGCTGTAATATACAGTATATTTTTTAACCTGAGAAATGGATCCAAACAATCTTCACATTATTATATTTACAAATTGCTAATGCTTTTCAACATAATTCTAGCATGAGAAAATTTAGTCAGTGTATACTCAGGGATTTCTGGTATCCATGATATTGAAGGTAACCCAGCATCCAAGCCGTTAGCAGAGTCTGCATAAGTGTCCATATGATTCTGATGGCAGGTGACCCTCATCCCATGTTGATATCCAGCTCCTTCACTGTAGTAATCACTGCTTTGGTCCTCCCAGTGGCGACTGTAGCGTCCATGGCTCACGTGTACCTTACTGTTGGTTGCGCAGTGGCTGTAGTGAGGAGATGGTACAGAGATTGATATGTCCTGGTACAAAATCCCAGGTATCTCTGGAGAAACTGCTAGAGGCTCTGGCTGATGGGGAATGTAGTTCTCCATCGGTTCCTGGAAAGTTCCTGTCTCCTTGGGCAGAGAAATGTTGTCTTCTGGCTGTCGGTAACACTCCATATGGGCACATGGAGGTGCGTGTGCTTCAGCGTCTGATTGTGTCCACAGACATAAAGACAGTGTTGAAATGTGGTGGATGGCAAGGCGGAGAGTGGCGATCTTGGATAGACGCTTTCCGCTAAGGTCATGTTTGAGGACAGTGCGCAAGGCGTTGAAGGCCTGGTTGTAGTCCAGGATGCGCTTCCTCTCTCGGATATTGGCGGCGACTCGCCGTGCTTTGGACCGCTTAGGCCGAGTATGCCTCTTAGCCGCTTTGAAGCCCTCCGTGTCACTGGGGCTGGATGACACAGAGCACTCTGAACGAATCTTTGCAGGGCTTTCGCTGCTACAGTCGTCATCCTCACCCAAAGGACAATCCTCCAACTCATCCTCTGAAACTTCAGATTCTGTACTGGTGCTGCCCAGACTCATCGTTGTCGACTTTTGTCCTCTGCGAAATGCAAATATTAGCTTTGGTTTGAGAGATGAGTGTTATTGTGGCCTGTGTGAACTATAAACAGTTAGTCTTGCAAAGCATCCACATGTTGAAATCCTCTCCTCACCTTCTAGATCAGATCTGTCAGTCTCGGAGAGGGCGAGAGGGGTTTTTAAAGGCAATCTGTGGATGTGTCACGTGAGCCAGCTGCCTATAAACAAAGGTGTATTCTGTGTTTACAAGTGCCCTCCAGGCAAGCGTAGACATCAGTCAACAGGCTTTGACACACCTCCTCAACACTCAGGATCTGATCTTTCCAACTACACCATGCCGAAAATGAGGAATGTCATTTGCAAAGCTGACAGATGCATGTAACTCCAAGGTGTGTATGTTTGGTTTTGACAGTTATGTACTGATATTGCAGACGATTCCTCCTCATAAATATTATGGAATCAGGGTTCATTCATATTTGTATTCAGCAAAAACAGCTCTTGGAGGGAAACACTCTTAAAAATAAAGGTTCTTTATTGACTTCCATGATTCCATGAACATTTAACAAAAAAAACTGTTTTTTTTTTTTTTACAAGAACTTTATACTGAAAGATTCTTTAGGGAACCCAAAATGGGTCTTCTATGGTAAGGGTCTCCAACCCTGCTTCTGGAGAACCGTTCTGCAGATTTTAGCTCCAACACACTTGCCTGGAAGTTCTAGAGAGTCTAAAGACCTTGATCCAATAATGTAAATGAAAAAATGACATGAGGGTAAGCAAATAGACACAATTTGTATTTTTGGGTGAACTATTCTTTTAAGAAAAAGGGGTTCTAAAAGAATTCTTCAATTTACAACCAGTTACAATTTAAAAGTTAAAATTTGTAGACATATTTAGAAGCTTTTAAAATGTACCTATAGAGAGTGTGTGTTGACGGTCTGTGTCGTTGGATGGTTGAGCTCAAGGAAACCGGTCAGAAGCTGCTTTGAAAGAATATTTTGACAGTTACAGATTTTGAAAAAAAAAAAAAAAGGGGGCGGGAATAAAGAACCCTAATCCCCAGCATAAAGAACCATTTCAGCATAAAAGAGTATTTTATGGTTCTAAATAGAACTATGATTACAATTATAGATCCTCTGCATCATTTTTTTTAAGAGCATAACTATGAAAGTGTACCTGCAGTGTACAATTCATAATTATGAACATTGGTCCCTCATAATGCATTCCTAGTTTTCCTCCACCTTGATCCAGATGGATTGTCTAAACTGTGTTCTGGGTTTTGAGAGAAAAATGGGAACATTCATGACAAATTACATCTTTATCAGATAAGCCTCTTTTACCAATTTGCCTTTACACCTTTTCTCTGCCAGAGGGATGGAAAAACACTTATCATATGTCACATGAACTCCATATCTCTGCATGGTCACAATTAGCTGTTGTGTATTAAGCGATTACTGGCCTTCCTGGGCTGCAGCGAGGGACAGTGTAATTTGGTTGTCTGCAAAGTCATAAATCAAATGTGTGCTTCCTACGGGGCAAGAACAGACAGTAGCCACCTCACTTCAAAGCTGGGGAAAAGGAACACAGATATTTTACAATTATTACCTGTGATGGCTGTGAGTTAAGGGCTTTGGTTGCTTTTTTATTCTCACTCGCAAACAGCTTGTGTATCCTCTACTTGAACTCCGATGTGTTTTTGTAATCCAAAAATGCATTTTGTACTGAAAGTGGACAATAGTGTGAAATTTTCACTAGCTGACCTTCTATTATTCAGTATTTGGTGTGAATAAGAAATAGAAGTTTCTAACCACCATGTTGGAATGTGGTCTCAAACCTGACTATTTATTGCAAGAGAAAAATCTTCAGCTCAGTGCTTTTAAACTTTGCCTCTATTACTGTAAGCGTCAAGATACACTAACTTTTTGCTTTTTTACGTCAGACCCAACAAAATTTTTTACTATGAAAAAATGTCTGACAAAACACTGGAATTTTTTTTTTGTATTAATAAAATTCATGTAGTGTAAATAAAATCATTAAAATTGTGTGAATTTGATGTCAAAAATAAAAGATGGGAAGCATTTTCTCTTATCTTTTAAAATGTTACAAGTCAAGATTATATAGTTATTATAGCCAAAATTATTAAAAAGAAAGAAAGAAATATTAAGGCATATGCTTAAAACAGGACTTTGGCAATGATTTGGTCTTGGAAACATTCAACTAATAAATGTATGCATTGTATGCCAGCATTTTCCAACATATTGTACTGTTTGGGCTAACATTAAATGAAAAATATAAATAAATATATTTTTAACACATGTAAAATTAATCAAATGAAAAACAATTTATTGTGCTGGGGCCAGTAAAATGTTGGCAGGGCAAGAACAAAAATCTAAACTTTTCTTTTTTCTTTTGCTTCTTCTGTGGAACATGAAAGAAGATTTTGAAGAATGTTGGTAACCAAACAGTTAGGGTTACAAAGTTACAATGGAAGTCAGTGGGAACAGAAACTGTTTGGCTACCAACATTTTTCAAAATAGCTCCATTTATGTTCTGCAGAAGAAAAAAGTCATACAGGTTTGATAAGAGGGTGAGTAAATGATGACAGAATTTTCATTTTTGGCTGAACAATCCCTTTAACTAAAGTCATAACCAACTGAGGAAGCCACTATGGCAAAAATGTTCCATCTTCTCTTTGGGCTGTACCTATTTTACAATTTTCAAGCCTCCAGTCAAACCAGTGGCTCAAGAGTGCTTTCTAACAGCTAAGATCATATCAGCAGTGGGTGGCGGTGCAATAACCTTTAAACAAGAAAAGAGATGCCATTTCAGACATTGCTTCCTTCCTGTCCAACTTTTACTACCCAATCATGACTTCAGCCATGTAGGTTTAGGTGTCCGGCTGATATTTTGCACACAATGCAAGATTGGCTCATGTTAGACCAAAACTACACTGACTAAGCAATCTTTCACAATCAATAAAACAATCAGCCGGACCAAGTCTATTCAGACATTTACAGTGAGAGATATATAACAGAAAATGTAACTTATTTGCACCTTCATCTGTAGTTTTACATTGTGATGGGAAAAAAAAAGACAAAAAGCATATACACACTCTAAAAAATGCTGGGTTGTTTCAACCCAATGTTGGGTCAAATATGGACTAACCCAACTGTTGGGTTAAATTTTGGTTACATTTTTAAATTAACTTTTTAACCCAACAGTTGGGTTAGTCCATATTTGACCCAACACTGGGTTGAAACAGCCCAGCATTTTTTAGAGTGCATATTTCCTAGTAGCTGAAAATGGTTAGTCAAGCCATTTAGCTACTGTATAACATGTTTTGACCGATAGACGTGTTGACTAGATGTCCCTCATGGGCGTGGGGTGTTTTCCAGATCTCCAGTGAAAGGCAAATTTTTGTTAGCGGAAAATATAGTTGCTTAAGTGGGAATTACAACATCCTCTTCCTTTTCTTGTTCTGCAATTATAATCCAAAATGCAGGTTTGTTTAAACACAGGGCTCTAGATTGTGTCATACTGTGTTTGCTCTATAATTTGAAATTAGTTGTAAAATGCCACAACCTTTGCATGCTAATTACAGGCTCCTTTGGGACTTTACACTCAAACGGAATAAAATCAATCAGACTTTGGATGTCGGACAGCTTTGTTGACCTGATAAACATAATAAACATAATGATCCCCAAATGCAACAGAAAACACCAAGGTAAGCAAAGACAACAACAGACGTACCGCAGCCAGACAGAGGAGAGCGTGGGAATGTCAGTGTAATTGTTTTTGGCGCTTTTTCTCAATGACCATGAGAGGAAAAATTAGAGGTCATAAGCACAGAAAGGAGAGACTGATGTACTTGGTAATTGAGGGGTTTGTTTGCAAGGTTTGGGAACTGAAATACTTAAAATAACAGGATTTTAGATTATTTTGCAGGTATCAAAAACAATACAACAAAAACACCATTTAGCTATATCTAAAATGCTTATTGAATCTACAAAATTTAATTCCCTCAGTGTCACCCAATTTTTCACCAAATATCTAACCTGCCAGCCAAAGAGTGGTTTATAATAGTAACAGCTTTGAACTGTTGATGGCCATGTCAAAGGTTAAAGAGCACCCTGGAGCTGGGCACTTAACCTGAACTGCTCTTCAAACCAATAAGAATTGATTCCCAGCTCATCAGATCCATTATTAGTATTATTAGAACAAAACTGAGATTTTGAATTAAGGAAGCAAACAGGATGCAGAATTGAATTTGAATGTATAAGGAAGTACAATACTAACTGTATATGAAAAGCTAAGTTTGAAAATGTGAGTGTTTGGAAGTGTAAAAAAGGTTTGAAAAAAATCGCATTTAAAAGTTTGCAGAACTTATGGACAGATGAAATGCAAGACAAACAGATAGGCAGACAGATAGATATACTAAAGGAATATAAAAGCAAGACAATTTTTCAGTTTTGGATTTTTCACAGCCCTGTATTGAAGCAGTATTCGCTCTAGTTCACAAGATAAATATGCGTTTCATTTTCTCTACCTCCTTGCATTTATATTAAGTCAGTTGTTCCACTCCATGAGTGTGATTCTCTGCACTCCACTACCAGCAATGTGTGATTAATTTGTAATGGAAACATTTGCACACTTGAATCACCTACTGCCCCAGTCTAAGTGATGTAGTCCAACACATAAACAATGATGATTTACAAGAAGGGTTGGCAGATTAATTGTCTTGTACAGAGAACTTCAAGCATGCTCTTAAAACCCATCCCAGACTAGTCCTTTTTTGACAAATGGGAAGACACTAGCAATTATCAGTCGCCATGTATAAATCAAGGTCCTTTTAGATAGCCGTGTGCTCACTGGGAGAACCAAAGATAGCCCAGCCATAACTGTGAATTGTCTAAAGATTTGTAAATCTTGAGTCTGAGGTTAGATAATGAGAAGCTGCTTTCTGGCAGTTATTAGAAGACTGTGGCACAATTATTTAGATACATGCTTTTAAAGGGGTGGTGAGGCTTGAGAAGTATGCAGGGAAATTAGAGGTCCACATGGAAAACATGAATTCGTTATTCTTTAGAACCTTTTTTGGCTCTATGATACTGTAGGCAACCAGCCACTAATGCTTTAATGAAAGTGCTGGCATTTGTGCTATTCTGTTTTTAAATTTGTTCAAGCAGTGTTAATATTGCGCGTCTTTCACAACTTATAAAGAATACTAGACAAAAACATTTTGTTAACTGAAATAAAAATTAAAACTATAACTGGGAAAAACTGAAACCAAGCTAAAATTAACTCCAAGACTAACAAAAAAAAAAAGTTTTCATTTTTGATAAGACCGTATACTATAAAACTGGAAATTAACATGTGACTCAACAAACCATCAATATCGTAAACCATGATATACATCATATTAATCATAGCAGTTAATGAACTAGTAATTCTGAAAATTCTATGCAAATACAATTGACTCGACTCTATAATAACATTAGACTGTGCTGAGAAATTTAATGGCATTAAAACAAAACTTAATTTATACTGGTTAGTGCATTAAATTTGGAAGTTCTAAAATAATAGTTCACTATAACTAATAAATAAATAAACAAAAATAAATAAACTGAAATCTGGAAAAAAAATTCTGAATTAAAAATTCTAAACTATAGTAACTCCGCTCTCAACTAATTGCAATTCTTTCTGCAGGATCAAGGCTGGAAAAATGCATTTACAACATCATGTCAAGCATGCTCATATACATTCTTGAAGCTTTAACGGTACAAGAAATACAAAATAACATCAAAATCCTTCCTTTGGCTAAGTGCATTCATTTCAATACAACAAAAGGCTTAGCAAGGCTTCCAGCCTTTCTTAGTCTGTTTTGATTAGCTATACTGCATTTACAGTATAGGGGGTTCCCAAACGATATGCTGTGATCGCTGCGGGCACATGTAACGGTGTAATGGAAATGTCTGGAACCTCCTTGTCCCTTGTAAAAAGAGTAAAACAGTTCATTGTTGACACATGCCTCCTGATCTGCACTCACCCTTGTTAGCTTGTTAGAGGTTTGATGAGGTTATGTTAAAGATGGGTGTTGTGTCTTGTCAGAGGAGGATGGGCTTGGGCTGATCTTTCTCTTCGTCCCCTGACTCACAGCACTGGCTGCTTCTGTTCCATCTACAGATGTAAAAGAAGGCAGAAATGAATCACTCCCAGACAGAGTTTGACTCTGAGCTATACAAGCTATACATACAAGCAATACATATTTCATTCTTCTATTAAGATAGATCTTTGTGGATTTTTTTACAAAGTCATTATGTAGTGTACAAGCATTACAAATGACATTACAACTACATTTATACATGTAGAAAATACTTTTATCCAAAGTGACTTTCAAAAGAAGAACAAAAGCATTTTGTCAAAAAGTCAACAATATTTGTAATATGCAATGTCAGGTTTAGACAAATACCCTGAAAAAAAAATGTTCAAAGTTGTAAATAAAACAAAGTTTGTTGGTGTGTTTTACAAGAAAATGCATTTTAGTCTTTCTACTGAAGACTAAATGTCCTGTTAAATTTAAAGGAAGAATATTATTGTGATGTTTTTATCAGCTGTTTGGACTCTCATTCTGATGGCACCCATTCACTCCAGAGGTTCTATAAACAAGTGATGTAATGCTAAATGTGTCCAAATCTGTTTAGATGAAGAAACAAATTTATCTGCATATTAAATTGCCCAAGGGCGAGTACATTTTCAGCATATTTACTTTTTTTGATGAATTATTCCTTTAATGTGTTACTTGAAGTTCATTTGTAATTATTTCTGGAATTTACTAGCAATTTCTGAGTGAAAATTGTTTCAAAATACATCCTACACCAATCGAAGAAGCAAGCTAGAGAAGAAAAGAACTGCAGAGAAGAAAAGAAGTCTTGTGTGTGTGTACGTGTGTAAGTGTATTGGTTTTATACCCTATGTATCACTGGTAATGCTTGCGAGCCTTATTTTTAAAAGTTTACTGCTGTAACATAATCTGATCTTGCACATCAAAATGCATGTGCATGAAGACAATACTACCTGGATTAAGATGAAAGTTGTCGCACTAAGTACTGCTATATTTGTGATGAGCTCGTCTCCATGGTGACAGCCAGCGGGCACAAGAGTCAAACTGACTTTTTACAGCCTGCACCTCATTTTTTCCATGTCTGACTAGGGCTGGACGATATGGCCAAAATTGATATCACGATATCGGTAATGTATATCGAAATATCGGAAATGTGTTTAAAAATCATATCACCGTTATTGAAAAAAATTATATCGCGATACATATTGATATTGAATTATTGTCCAGCCCTATGTCTGACATCAAGTAAATAACCCTAATGATTTCCCTTTCAGGTTTACCAAAGCTAGCACACCTTCACAACAACGCCACAGGCATTACAATTAGATAAACAAGTTTGAATTGATCCATACTGCAGCAAATTCTTAATATTCACATTTGTTTTTGAAACGGTACTGTATCAGAACATTCCAGAAGAGTGAAATATGAGCTGTTAATGATACTAACTGGCGTTCAGATGAAAGCGTGTTGACAAGACGCAAGGGATATGAAATCACTCCTGGCCTTTCAGTGGTAAGATGGCATGCTCAAGGTTAGTCGCCCCAATTCCTGTATAGCAGCATTACAGAAACAGAGGACTAGCATTATTTGAGCAACTCTCTGCAATTAAAATAACCAGCTGCTAGATTACTAGAGGCGAGCTATGTGATTTATGCTCTGGCTGGAGTCTGTGTTTGACAGAACTTAAGATGCGATGACATAGCCTGTAGGTAATACTTGTTATGTCCTAGGAATGCAAGTTGTAACCTTTCTTCATAGTTCAAACTGCAGTGAAGATATATGTATTAAAACAACTGCACCTAAAACATCGAGCTATGTGATTTATGCTCTGGCTGGAGTCTGTGTTTGACAGAACTTAAGATGCGATGACATAGCCTGTAGGTAATACTTGAATGCAAGTTGTAACCTTTCTTCATAGTTCAAACTGCAGTGAAGATATATGTATTAAAACAATTGCACCTAAAACATTACATGTCTAAGCGAATTCAAATTTCTTCATCTGTCCCATTTAAGTATCAGTTTATGCTGAGAATGATAGTTTTACTGCACATATTTATTTTCTTTGAAATAAAACACATAACCTATTATTTTCAGCTGTGATATTCCAAGAGATTCATAGAAAAACACATTCTGACATCAACCATAAAAGGTGTTTTGAATACACTATTAAAACTGTGTTTAAAGTCACATTGGTGTCTGACAAACACTGTAATCATGCTGTTTGTGCTATAATTGGAGTTGTTTTGCTCAAAGGTCCACCAATGCCGATTACGCAAGCAGTACAGGAAGGCTAGAGAGAATTCTTAACATATAAAAAAGAAGTGAAAATACAGTTATTTACAGAGATTTCGAAAGGGCTGCCTGAACTAAACTAATTTGTAACTGCTATTTTGGTTTCACCTAAATGTGGAACTAACTTAGTAACTTTTGCTTTCAACAAGTCCTAACACTCAGGACAGGAGTTCAAGAGTTCACACAGGAGTTCACAGAGGTTGTTGTCCATGTCATTCCATCCTAAGAAATATGACCACTTCAAAGGATTCTGACATGCTAAAAATAGTTGAAATTTTTCCCCTGCTTTATTATAATGAATGGAATGCCAGACTCATAAAATAATAAAAATAATAAAAATAATCCTATTATATAAAAAAAATTAAAAAACAATGTTGTTTTTATGATTCTAAGTTAAATAAACAATTACAACTTAACAAAAAATGTGATCTAACAATGCATAAAATACGATGCTATATTTAGTATGACTATACAAAGATCCCAATTGTCATAACAGTGTTTGTCTGCCCCCCTCTGGTTAATTTAAGAGAATGCATGGAATTTAAAGCATCTAAAAACAGCAAATCACATCTAGCAAATAGGTTTTTTTGGGGGAAAAACATAAATCTAATTTAGTAAAAATTATATTGTGAGACTATTTGAACTCAAGGAGTTACTTTGATGGTACACTACAGTTTAAAATTTTAGGATCAGTATGATTTTTAAATGTTTTTAAAGAAGTCTTCTTTGCTCACTAAGGCTGCATTTACTTGTTTAAAAATGCAATAAAAACAGTAACATTACAGAAATTAAGTAACTTGTCAATTTTATATTTCAACTTTTCTTATTATCACAGTTGTGCTGCTTAATATTGTTGTGATTATTTTTTTTCAGGATTCTCTGATGAATAGAAAATTCAAAAGAACAGCATTTATTTTAAAGGGGTCATATGATGTTGTTAAAAAGAACATTTGTTGTAAATACAACTTAACCACTGATTTCTAGTCGTGTCCTCTTTTGGAAGGCCAAACATAGTATTTTCGCTTTCACAACGAAACACACAGCATCTTCACAACATGGCAGCGGCGGTGGTGGCAACAATAAAGTTACTCCTTCTTTATTTGCGTGAACATTTGGGCGATGTAATGCAAATCTTCCCACACAGTGATGTAGACATGTGGGGGGAACTAGATTGGGTGTGTCTGATTAGGGAGACATACAAAATGTGCAGGGCAGGGGGTCCTCCAGGACAGGTTTGGGAACCACTGATATAACCCCTTTAAATATATATATTTTTGTAAATATGTAAGGCTTTACTGTCACTTTTGATAATGCATCCTCACTTAAAAAAAAAAAAAGTAAACTTACTACATAATTAAATAAAACTGAGCCCAAACGTTTGAATGGTAGAGCACACAGCATTTGGTTCAGTGAACACACTTTCCACTCAACAGAATTTTCACCTAAATACAAGAACAGTCAGAAAGGACTATAGGATTAATCACGTCCTCATTCCAATTAACTGTCCGCAAATCCTCAGAGAACAAACAGAACCTGTTCCAGATCTACAATCTACCCCCACTCTGCCAGTTAAACGAGTGTTGGTCCAAAGTGCAACATTCTAGAAGGACAACCATGGCTATCTGTGGTTTATTCTATCACCTTGACCTCTGTGAGTTTAAATAGGCAGTCATTTGCTTTTGATACGCACTCTGAGGTCAGAGGAAGAAATGTGCATGTAAACTGCCAATTTATGCCTCCAGACAAATGTACCAAAACTATACCACTCACATCTAGGCTACATATAGTGGTGGTGTTTCATTTGTGCATTAAACAGATTCAAATAAAAGTGAACAAATTAGTTACACTCACTGACCCCTTGACTTGAATGTCACTCACACACCACACAATTTTAGACATGATTTTCCATTGGCCAACAGTTAATGGAGATCGCTGACCAAAACCAAAAATGGGGGGGACAGGTGGTTGTTTATGATTGTTATGTGTTAATTATATAGTTTCAACCATCATATACAAAAATATCAAAATGTAATTCAGTGGCACGAAAACACATTTACAATAGTATTTACAATAGCCAATAGCTTACTTTTATGTATGTTCACATAGATAACAAAAAAAAAAACATTCTTACTGACGTATGAAGAACAAAATATATTTTTAAATGCTTACAAAATATATATTTATTTTTTTTAAATATACTTTTAAAAATATACAAAAAATGGCCAATAAAAATATATGTACTTACATATATTAAATATGTTATTATGTTATATATTAATATATTGTCAAATATAAATATTGGCTATTTAGAAATATATTTAAAAACTAATTTTTGCCATATGGGAACAAATGACTTGTGTACGTGTGTATAGCTAAGGCATCCACAAAACGGATAAAAGAAATGGCTGTAATTTGTAAGGAACATGTATAATGCTTAAACGGTTCTTCTTTCTGTGGTTCGGAGCTCGTGATTGTGAGTCGATTAAGGAGTAAATGATTCGCTCATAAAACATTAAGTTGTCGCCACCTACTGGCAGAAAGGTGCACCAAATAGTGAACACATAGATTTTACTCACCAAGAATGAAACTTCCCAACAGTACACCAAAGACAGCACTGACACAGCACTCGGGTGATTGCAAGTCTTCATTACAGCTTCCTGTGGCCTTGACTGGGAAGCTTCCACGCCTTGCATCGCGACGCACTAAACACCGCCCGCCTCTCTTTGGCACCCCCAAACGCACTAACGCAGGCGGTGATTGGGCAGTGCAAATGTCTCAACTCCCCTCGTCCACCGAGCACCGGTTGAGCACATTTTGTCACTTGCGCTAACGTTAAATGGAGGAACGTCCCTGCGAAGGGGCAACCGGAGTATATATCAGTCATGGAGCAGAGAACGGCCCTGATCGATCGAACATATCGGTAAACAATGATCAGAACCACAGTAAGTTCCAGAACGAGAAAACGCAGACGAAGAAAACAGGTTGGTAACCAGCAAAGCTCATTGTTTTTTTTTTTCCTCTGACAAGCTTCAAATACATGTCGTAGTTTGTTTGTTCACAATAATACTTCATTAGTTAAGTCAAACGAGGAGCCTGTTTTGCTGACTGTACTGTTTGAAATAGTTATATCCAGTGTTAGCCGCAAAGCTAGCTAGCGTAAAGGGACATTGACCTTGTGCACCGGTCTCTCAGCACGCATTACACATTTCCCTGACTTATAATTCATTTGCAAACATACCTCTCAGTTTGGCTCGTTTTTAAAAGGAACGCGGCCGTCAGAGATCCAGAATAGCCTGTTAGCTCTGCCCCGTTGCTGCCACAGCAACATGAACCGGCTCCTGTGGAATGTTCCTGCTCGTAGCTTAAGCTTGTTCTGTTATTTCCTGTCCGCCATGATGGACGGCCAAATCTCACAAAACTTCACCGCTGCCCATTTCTCGTACAAACCCGAATACTTTGGTAATACAATTCGGGCGACGCGGTCAGCCATGCAGAGTCGCTATTAATGTTGTTTTAGGGGTGTACGGTTTGACCAGCTTAGCTCGAATCGCGGCCTATTACTCTCTGACAGTCATGTGAGTGGGCCTGACAGTGCCTGGGCTCGCGCTTACCGCCTATTCGAACTCGGCACCAAATGGCCTGAATAGAACGTGTCGGAAAATTCTATAGCTGTACGGATACAAACGTTCCCAAACCGTAAATGGAAGCAACCGGAAAATCCTATAACGTTACACGAACTGTAAAATGCACGCTTTGACGTGTAGATTTACAAAATCTTTTGATAAAAGAACGACATTTCTGTTGTTTTTATTTTAAAGTGCATTTTCTTGACCCCGTTTAATCTGCATTATTTATACTTGTATGCAACGAAGCTCATGGCGTGAGAACTCTCACGTATGTTTGATTTTAATCAAAAAGTGATAAACAGCTTTATTGTGTGCATTCTCTCCCGTAACTGTAAGCCTGTGTGTTGAAATGCACCACAGGCGTAGGGTTAACTGTTGATATCAAGCTATTTGGTACGGTTCTGTTGGCTATCGTGACGTAAAAGGTTTCGCAGGAGTACACCGCTGCATATCGCGAAAACTGTTCATATTTGGTCCATAAAAACGCCTAGCGCCCATTGAAATGTATCGTTGCAGTTGTCACTTTATAAAAGCGTTGTGATGTACCAACAATCACATCTTCCTGTGGCTAATCATTCAGGCTGCCCACTTAGCATGCTAAGCTAGCTGATGACTTGGCCGGGTGTTGACCGAATACGCACAAACATGGTTTCAAATAAAGCATTAACATTGCTAAACAATTTTGTAAATGATTTCATGCAGTACAAACGTTGCTGACTGCCATGTTGCGACTAACCCACTTCAACGAGTGTGACTTTACCACACAAATGAAAATAGCCACAGAAGCTGGCATGGCCTTAGACACAAACAAAGCACACAAATGTAAGCTCACAAAAGGCATGAAATGTGTTAAAGGGGTTTCTGTATTCAGTTTTTCATTAATTTCGGGATTTTAAGACGTGTCCACCAATGCTGGGGAACTACCCAAATATGACTTCTAGTACTCCATTTTGACACGTCATACCTCCGGTTAAAAATAGGGCGATGTCAGACTTGAGCCGGCCGATGAAAGCACGCTTGCATGGGGTGCTCTCTTCATGCCTCATATTTTCAGCCTCAAAGGACAGAGGTCGTTAAGACCCGTTTTAGTGCTCAAACCACTTTTTACCGCATTAATACATTGCACCTTTGATTTGGGTATTACATTGCCTTGTTGGTTCAGTTTGTTTACATATGCTGTACAAAGACAGATCTTCTCCTCTGTGAATTAATTTGAATCTGTATACCAGGTTGCCAGAATTGAATTGTTGCTAATGCCAGTCTTAAGTTCCTATGAGGACATTCCATCAGCTGCCATAAATAGTTTCCATAGAAATCATGAAGCCAAGCAGACCGTCTTATGCACACTTGCCTGACAGAACATTTATGTCTTTTTTTAATTATTATTATAAGGATATCCAAATATAATGATCCTGTTGCAGAGGATCCCTCTGGATACAAACTGCTTTACTGTTAATTTTTGAAAGTAGTAAGCAAATATAAAGACAATATATATTGATTGCAAATTTTAAGTTGTAAAAATATTTTTCTACAGAACATTGACTTTAGATTCAAATCAAATGTATTTATATAGCGCATAGAAATGAAAAAAAAATGTTTCTTTTGAAATGTATGTCAAAGAGTCCAGAAAAAAAATGAATTATAGTTTCCACAAAAAAATTAAGCAGCACAACCTTTATCAACAATACTAAGAAATGTTTCTTGAGAACCAAATCAGCATGTTAGAATGATTTCATGGCATTTTAAAATATGCGAAAATAGAAAACAATTATTTTAAATTGCAATAATATTTGCTATAATACACACACACACACATAATGCAGATTTTTCTGTCACAGATTCACAATACATAAAAACTAGTTTATTTCCTTTTTTAATCTGATTAATTTTCTGCAGACCCAGTATGAAAACCAATGATCTCTGATTTCACTTTATTGGCAGAGATTTAATTTGATAAACCAGCTCTGTTCAGATGTAGGTTGGTTATGGCTATCAAATCACAGATATTCCAACATTTTAGTCATTTTACACTGGTTTTAATTGGAAGTACACTGAATATCATCCATGGTTGTTCAGTGTGAGTTGAAGGAGTCCGCTTGTCATCTGCCTGACCCTGGCTTGGTTCCACAGAACATACCTAGTCTAAATATTCCTTGAACTTGTGCAGACATTGACTAGACTTGACCCGTTCCCTTACTGGAACTTGAGATCTGATCTGGACGTTTACCAAAAGTTGTTGATTCAGTGGATCAGTTGCTGCAGATTTGTGGTTTGCATTCCATCTGTTTATTGCTTTTTGTTTCTCCTTTGAGCAGAAAATGGCAAAATAAATGGAACTCTGAAGGAGGGAGAGGTGACTCCCGCTTCTTTTAACCCAGACATCTCCCTGCACCCTGCGAACAGCAATGGCGATAGACACCTGCTAGACATCAACTTGAAACAGAAGCCCACTCGACGGGCCTTCACCACTGACTCAACAGGGGACAGAAAAGGTAGAAACACTAGCAGAAACAGCATGGACTTCAAAAATGACAAGTCCTCAGAGTTGAACACGCTTGAGGGCAAAAAAGAGACTTTGGCTACTCTGAACGGTGTGGTGTCGCTCAACTCTGTACCACTTACCAACGGTTACCCTAGCACACCCGGAGCTGACAATGACGGTAGTGGCTCCGAGAGTGGATACACTACTCCCAAGAAGCGCCTGGCCCAGAGGAATGGCAAAGCCGGGGACAATGTGACTGCTTCTGCCCAGGGAAAAGCCATGCAACAGGGTGGCAAACAAGACCACGGGCCTGTGGCGCCGGACTCGGCCTCTGGCTCTCAGGTGGAGAGTGGTAGAACTGGTTCAAAAGTCGAGCTGCACTTAAAAGCCAAGGAACCACCTGCCTCCGCAACCCCACCTCCTCTGCCGGTGGCTGAACTTCAACGTAAAAACTCAGACAGCAAAGTGGCTGGCAAACGGTTTGAGGATCGCTCCAGCAAGGTTAAGGTGGCTACCTCCACCAAAGAGGACTCATGGACCTTGTTCAAGCCTCCACCTGTCTTTCCTGTGGACAATAGTAGCGCTAAGATTGTGCCTAAGATCAGTTATGCAAGCAAAGTGAAGGAGAACCTCAATAAGACTGCCCAAGCTGGCGGGGAGGCTCTCACTCCTGCTCCCCAGGTGCCTGGGAGACCGCCACAGGTCCCCATGTCTGCGGTGAAAACCATCACCTCGGCTAGTTTTACCAACGGTCCCCTGCCGGGGGAAGGGAATGGCTGTCCCCTGCCCTGCCCCCATTTCAGCGCCGGTCCTCTGCTGGCGACCCTGGCTATTGCCGCTGAGAATGTAGCATCTCCCCCTGGTAGCGGCACTTCAGCCGTTGGAAGTTCCACGACCTCTGTGGCTGAGCCCAGGAAGCCCAGTCTGTTCGTTTACCCCGTCACCCCCTCCAATATGCAACTCTCGCTCCCTAGCGGCCGCCAAGCCGATCCCCCTGCTGCTTCGACAAATCAGAAGTCTCTGGGGGAAATTTTTCAGAATCAGTGGGGCTTGTCCTTTATCAACGAGCCTAGCGCCGGACCAGAGGGCGTGGCGTGCCACTCAAACGGAAAGGACGTGCCGGTGGAGGTGAGCTTTCAGGGAGGCTGTTCTGCTACAGTGGCCACTCAGACTTCCAGTACCTCTCAGAGACTGGATCAACAACCACCCTTCCCCAAGGCTCACGAGCCAGACAAATGGACTAACGCTCAGAATCTGAGTCGAGGTGCGAGCGGCGGTGCCAAGGCGGCAAGCGGGGCCATACCCGAGACCTCTGTCCTCAGCCTGGATGCCCAGAGAGATCAGACGGGGGTTCATGGTGCAATAGTGTTTTGTTCTTCCTCTAAGGACATTTGTGCCGAGCTGCCTCCCACCTCCCCAGCTGCACCTAAGGTGGCTTTGGCCAAGGACCAGGGCCATACTAAGGGCTTTGACAGGAGGTCTAGTTGGGGGTCGTTTGATCTAAAAGCTGCTGTAATTTATCACACTAAAGGTAACTCACTGTTTAAGTTTCTTCTTAAGTACTTTCACTTTATTATGTACTACAAGAGATATACTGTCTTATGAATGTACAATAGAGATGGACTAATACAATAAATGTGACCCTGGACCACAAAACCAGTCATAAGTAGCACAGGTATATTTGTAGCAGTATCCAACAGTACATTGTATGGGTCAAAATTATCGATTTTTCTTTTATGTCAAAAATCATTAGGATTTTAAGTAAAGATCATGTTCCATGAAGATATTTTGTAAATTTCCTACCTTAAATATATCAAAACTTAATTTTTGATTAGTTATATGCATTGCTAAGGACTTTAAAGGACAATTTTAAAGGCGCTTCGGGCATCCCGTGTTTGAGTCCCGGCTCGCGGACCTTTCTCGATCCCATCAACACTCTCTCTCCCACTTCACTTCCTGTCTCATTACTGTCCTATCAATAAAAAGGCAAAAACACCGAAAAATAAATCTTTAAAAACAGAGTAATTATCCAAAAAGACATAATACAAATAATTTCATTTCTGGGGCACATGGCTTTAGAGACATACCGATTGGCAGTGCTGGGTAAATTATTACAAATTGTAGTCCGTTACTCATTACAAATTGCATAACAAAAATTGTAGTTAGCAACAACCTGGATTACACACATTAGGTAATGTAGTCTTACTACTTTTTTTTTATTACTTTTAGATTACTTTTGACTCGTTTATCACATAGATTTGAATGGGATTATTGTGTACCATGTTGATAAACAAAGAGAAAGAAAATATATTCCATTCTTTATCAACATCATGAAATCCTTTAACATTACAACAGGGTTTCTCAAACTCATTTAGAACTCTTTCATTTAGAAAGGAAAATTTAAAAGAAAAAAATAAGAATTGAAGTGAATCAATAAATTATGAATAATTTACTGACATTGTGTGAGTAATTATGTAATCCATAAAAAAATAACCGTAATCTGATTATGAGCATTTTAAAACTTAATATAATCTAATTACAAGTATTACATTTTTTTCGGAATCTGATTACGTGATGCAGATTATATGTAATCAGTTACTACCCAGCACTGCTGATTGGTGCCATTATGGTCAACCCAATTTAAAAGTGTAAATGTCTGTAAATAATATTGTTCAAACTAATTATCAGTCTATCTCTAATGTACAAAAAAGTTTGTGTGCTGCAGATAAATTGATTTAGTCTACATCTTAAATTGTTACTTAGCCTTCTCAAATTAGAATAAGGTTGTTACTCTTACACACAAATGATACTGTGACTGAATATATATATATATATATAAATGTTATTTCAGTGTGGTTATATAAAGCAACAAGACAGCAGTATTTTGAAGCTATTCTGTTAGTGTGAGTTTCTTTCAAGTTAAATAAAAAAGGACAGATCTTGATTGAATCATAGCTGTACTTGGGTATTTTTACACTAAGCTTTCATCCCTCTTCTTTGCAGAAATGGAATATATTTTGAATTTGCAAAAACAAGGTAAGCTACCATTTACCTCTTGTGTTTGTTGACATATTTATAGTCAACTCTTGCCTCAGCATGTTATTAAACCCTTCAATGATTCAGCATTTAGATATTGCAACCCAATGCCCCATCTGCTCACATCCCTCAACCCTTCCCATATCATTTTTGTTTGTGGTTTTAGAGTTCCCAGCTCTCACCTACATTCATCTTTCTCACTTTCTCGCAGATCCAAATCGAGCAGTCCTCTACAGTGAGTCATGGGACGGACCTGCTCAGTGAAGCTGTGTCTGGACACTATATCTCAGATGAACTCTGCTGCAAAAAGATGTGCTTGAGGAACATGGCTGCTGCCTCTGAACATCCTGAATCAGAACTAATCCAATGGTTTAGAAAGGACCTTGTTACCCGTCAGCAGTCAAGGCTGAGCGCAGAGGAACAGAGTGCGCTTAGGAAAACGGGTTAGCTGGTTTTAGAATATTAGAATGGAAGAACAAGAGCTGTGGAACTCAACTCTAATGCGGATATGTTGCTGAAGACAATTTCGATGACTTGGGGGACATACAACTCACACGTCAAACACTCATGATAACCCTGTCATGACATTTGGTTGGGCGGAAGCTTCTCCTTTAAGTACTCACGGACCTAAGAGAGTGTCCAGGAGGGAAGCATGTCACCATGTGTGCCCTCTTGAATTCAAATAATCATGTAGTGGTCACATTGAATTCATTTGGGCACAGAACCGAAGAGTGTCGCTCTACAGTGAATTAACATACTGTGGCCAGAGGAACTACATGGCTTTTTTGTTTTGTTTTGTTTTGTTTTTTGGAGATACAGGGGAATTGAACTCCATTTATGTGTGGGGGGCGGTTAGTTCAAGCCTTTGGGATTAAATAATTGTCTTAATTTAATTTCTGGACAATTTTGGATCAGTCCTGTTAGTGACGCATCTCCACTTCGTTTGTTTTGTTTGTTTTTTTCTTCCTCCTTTTTCTTTTCATTGAAATACTTAAAAACTCCCAGGGCTGGTTATGCGGTACACTCGGATTGGGAAACCACACGCCCTGTAGTGTGCATGTGCAGTATGCTGCTCTGTGCGTCCTCTTTTGGAAGAGTTAAAAGTGCTATCGTTCAGTAGTCTTATTGTTGTCTCTTCACGCTTCTGTCACCTGACAGCCATTCGAGTCTCTTGCTCATTGTGTGAGTGTGTAAACGGAGGACAGCGATCACGCTATACTCTTTTATCTTGAGTGTTTTGTTTTTAATTTTTAAGTAGCAGTTAGAACGCAGAACTAATCGATAAGATGTGCCACACCACAGAGTTGCTTTAGCTTCAATGCTATAGGTACATTATGGAGGCTTTATTTCGTTTTGGTTAAGTTCTGTAGAGCTGCTCTTCGAAATAGGGTTTTGTTTTTGCCTGGAAAGGCAGTAGCGACTACTTTTGCTTCATTTGGGACTACACCACAATTTAGAGGGAACCTACGTAGAGAGCAGTCGCTGGCGAACGATCCGGACTTTTTATTTCAGTCAAGAGACTAGAATCCCCTAGTGTTTTTTTAATTAATTTTTTATTGAGCACCACAATCACACTTTTATGCTTTTTATTTCTTGTATGTTTTAATTTGTACCTGGGTTTCCATGCTTATCGGTTAAGCGCTTGCTAAAGCACATATGAGCCTCATCAATAGAACCGCCATTGACAAGAATTCTGCCGTTGTGTAAATGTTTCTCTTTCTAATGTCAGAAAATGCATTCTTAACTTACAGTCTATCCTCTGTTTTATCATTTCACAGATTAATTGATTTATACATAAGAATCAGTAGCACTTTATGTATTATGTTCTTGAATTGTATTTCCTTAAACATTGACATATCAGTACATATTTGAAATTCTAGTAATTAATCATAGGCTACTAACTTTAACCTCTACCTAAGGACTGTCGGTCCGCAATCTCAAAAGAAAATAAATATTAAAAAAAAGAAAATGTAAAAAAAAAAGTGAAAAAGGAAAGAAAATAAAAAAGACACTCAGGTAGAATTAGGGCAGTGTTCTTCTATCTAACAAAAAAATGCACCAACAGTGTTATTGCCAAATATGAAAAGATGTCCCATGTTTGTACGAGCTGTTTTTTAAATTTTAACCTTTTGAGGGATTTAATTTTTGACTGAAAGCCAATGCTTGCGTCTTTACAGGTATCATTTGGCATCAATGTTTTCTGTACATTACCATGAAACACTGCCAGGTGAAAAGATTTAAGTACACATGGAAGACGTTAACCACACTACGTATCTGTATGTCTTTCCTTAGCAAGAGTTTTTTTTTGTTTGTTTTTTTATTTCATGTTTTAAATGCAGCATGTAATGGTTTCCAATGTGGTCTGTCTTCAGAAAACGTGGGATGTTTCAGGATAGTTCTTAATCTGTTTCTGTTCTTGAGGTATCCGACGTCTGTTCGATGTCTTGGTTCAAAAGATATTGCAGCTGTCGATGAAACAGATGTAAGTTCGTTAAATTCTGCTTCATCTTTTCTAATTCCGTTTAGATTCCACTTAAAAGCTTTGTGCAATGTAGAGAAATCCTGCGATTGATAATTAGCTCGTTCCTTGGCTTGTTAGATGCACATCTCTTCATTGCATCACTTGAGTTTTATTGTAGTTATCTAAATTTTGTCTTTGAACAACTCGCATAGAGCATTTTTTTTATATCCAAGGGATTTGCTTAAGGAGTTACTGATGTAGGCATAATTTATAACCATCTGTTGTTACATTAAGTTAATTATGAAATACCTCTGTAAACATGCATTGTCCCTGTATCCCTATTTCCCCTTAAAGGGATCGTTCACGTAAAAATTAAGATCCTGTCATCATTCACTCAACCTCGTGTCATTCCAAAGACTTTCTGACCCTGTCCCAACGTATAGTGAATGTCTGGTCTGTTTCGGACCCCACTGACTTTCACTGACGAAAACAGTTTAAAGCGGTTAGGAATAACGTGAGGGTGAGTAAATATTGGCAGAATTCAGATTTTGGGTGAGCTGTCTCCTTAACTCAGTTATGTCTTTGTAAACGCTGTCAGCAGAATGAACTGAACCTGGCCTTTGTGTCAAAAAACTCAACTCCAGGGGTCAAATGCACATATAGAGGTTCTATGCACAGAATGCAAACAGAACAGAGTTTATATTTTGGGGGGTTGCACATTAGCTTAATTTCCTCAATTTAAATAAGCACTTACTACCCCACAAATTATATAATTGCAATATAAATTATTTACATACATCTTAAATAGCTCCTCTTAGTGTTTAAAGCAATGAGAGCACGTACGGATGGGAGAGAGGTACAGAGATACTGAAATGGTTGTTGGCATATTCAAATTTCACGTGTTTTCTTGACGTATGAATGATTCTTGTCCTGTCCTGACAACTCAACTGTTTTTTTTTGCGTGTGGATGCATATGTGTGTGTGTTCGTGTGCAAGCATGTGTATTTGTCTTCATTCATACGCTCAATTATATGCAAAGTTAATATTGTGAACTTTTCAAGTTCAGGGTGCCTGTGTCAAGCGATATATTAAACGGAATCACATCAGAACATGAAAAACTCTTGCTTTTCCTTTTCCCCTGTCCCTACACCCCCATTACCCCCCAACAATCTTCAGTTGTGCCATGTTTGACTGTTAAAAGTTTGAATTAATATTTCATTTTATGTTGATCTCTCTGAATTTCCTACAATGGATGTGAAGAGGGGGTTACATTATGTCTCAAGAATCTTTGTCACTGCTAATAAACTTGTTGAAAAAGATCTTGTTGTCTTAGTCTTCTTCTGAATGTCTACTGTTAAATTTGTGCTTTGCTTTTGAAAGAAAGGACTATACAGGGTTCGATACAGGTTAGGCTTGATCAGGCCTAATGTTGATTGCCCAAATTTCGTTTTGTCCCTCATTTTAGAAATGGGAAAAATACAAACTACAGTGAATTACTTACAGTGGAGGTGAATGGGCCAATCCGTTAATGCTTTTTTTTTTTTAAACCTTTTACTAAAGTTTACTAACCTTTGCGTAAAATTGGATCCAACTGTACAAAATGCATACCTTATACAAAATCATAATGCATGATTTTTTTCAATAGAAATGAGTGTAAATGCTTTAAAGGTCCCATGGCATGAAAATTTTACTTTATGAGGTTTTTTTAACATTAATATGAGTTCCCCTAGCCTGCCTATGGTCCCCCAGTGGCTAGAAATGGCGATAGGTGTAAACCGAGCCCTGGGTATCCTGCTTTGCCTTTGAGAAAATTAAAGCTCAGATGGCCCAATCTGGAATCTTCCCTTTATGTCGTTATACGGGGAAAGGTTACCCCGTATAACGACATAGGTTATATAGGTTTTTTCCTCGAGAGACATCATGGCTTGCAAATGAGCGAAGCATGGCAGTTGCCCCGCCTCTCTCCTCCTCATTAGCATTTAAAGCTACAGACACAGAAATGGCACGTCCTAAGGAAAGCTCATTGTGGGACTGGCTCGTAGTGGCTGAAATTCTGCACCAAGGCTGAATTTCGGGAAAGAGACTTCAGATACAGTACTAGGGACCACTTAGCCCTATATAAAAGCATCCAAAAAGCAGCATGTCATGGGACCTTTAATAAAACTGTAAGCTGCACATTTCTGCTTTTAAATCCTCCAGAAACTGGCTCCATTCACTTCCATTGTAAATGCCTTTACTTCACTTTATTTTATAAAGAAAAGAGTCAAAATTATTTTATGCTTAATCACAATGCCACAAATGCTATTTTGATCGTTCTTAACTTGTATACAACTCGGAATATTTATGCAATAATACTCAAGTAATAAGCATACCATTCCTGACCTGCTCTTTGGATTTACAGCAACACACCCCACTTTCTATTTCCGCCTTCCTCTTTATAACCCTGACTTACTGTTGTTATAGCATTATAAACAGGACAGATGGAACCTGTGTTTTCCTAGGGAAAGTCCCAGCACCCCTCTGGCGTCTCTGAACTGGCACTGGTGTAAAGGTGAGTCAAGGGACGAGAATGCTGGAGGTTGAGGTGTTTATAAGGACATCGGGATGAGTGTGGTAGCTTGTCTTAAACTAAAACATTAGTGGTTATTTGAACGCATTTAGTTATTATTTGATGCACTCTAAATGTAGAAACCTGTCCATTTTAACTACTACCGCACGTTAAATGTTATTAGAGTGCATTATAATTATTATATATACTGTATATATATGCATATAATGCATTATATATACGTTCACTTTCACTTATAAGGAATGCTCTCGCCTCAGTAGGAATTTAGAAGTTTAACACTAGATGTCGCTGTTGCCCATCATAAAGTAAACGTACATGAACCACCATCAAGAGTAAAAAGTGTTCTACAAGATGATTAATGGAAGATAAATAGGCTTACGTACAGAAATCCCCTTAAGCGTATGAAAAAACATTCAGCCATATATTCAAGTGGAAATAATTGTCTAATTCAGTCATACTATAATTTATCTTGAAAATACTGTATAAACTTCGTTAACAAGAAAGTAATCTTACTGAATTATATAATTACTGTATTAAATTCATTGTTCTTTCATATTTTTGCCACTGTAATGGTTCTGAGACATAAACATTCGCGAAATGAGAAGTTTATAAGAACAACAGTGTATAACTGACAAGATGAAGTGCATTGTTTTGCTTTAAATCACATTTGAAGGTCATTATGAGTATTTTTGTATTATAACGGTCAGAAACAAATACAGAGAATCAGGCCAAAATTGTGGGATATAATTAACATTAAGGAATAAAATATATGCTTTTTTACTATTGTAAAAATCCATTAATATGAAACTATCTGCATAAAAATGCACATTAGATTTAAACAGTGTTTTTGCTCACTATACATATGCATAGGCATCTATTATCCAGAGCAAAGATACCTGTGGACAGAAAAGACCAGAATGATCTTGATTCACATGCCTATAGGGAAAATCCACGAAATATGCTACTGATAAATGCATGAAACCCCCATGGGTCCTAACGTGTCCCAGCATCTCCTGTGAAGATCTGCAGATGATAAAAGTAGAACATAACACTTCAGTCCTTAGTTTCTAATAATACCATTAAACATCACACAAACCTACTTGCATCAAAACAGCACTCCATATTTGGACCGTGATTGACACATCTAATAAAAGCAAAACGTGGTTAAAAGCATCCAAAGTGATAGAATTGTCGCAAACGGCAGTGATTTCAGTCTCCTCCCCCCGTCCCTCGCCAGAAATATGCCCAAGACGGGAGAGTAAAAATAGACAGCAGAAAGAATCCTTGTGCTTTAAATAGAGCTGACTCTCAGAGTATGAGGTCAGTGTCACTGAATGTCTTTGTAGGCTCTATTCTATGCTTCTGTGACTAAAGCCGAGCAGATACTGCTCCCTTTCTCTCTGCCACAGGCTGATCAACAATGCTTCAGTCTCTCACCAGTGTAACACTTGCAGCCTAGTCACTATGTACACAGTACCACTGTGATGTGTGGCGAGCACACAGCGTTTCGCTCTGAAAGAAGGCCTGAAGGCTTCTGTGACTGTAGCTGCATGAACGGCGACATTTTTTCATTATACAACCTGATTTTGCAATTAAAACTTGTACCTAGAGTATTGGATTCATTAAATCCAATCATGAATAATTTACATGCACATAATTAAAAAAAAATCAATTACATACTTCCATGACATTCCTCATGTGGTCTTTTCATCGTTTTCGAGCCATGTACGAATTATGTTCTTTTGTTCCGCTCTGTAATCTTTACTGCATGTTGTGTTTGAATGACTGACATGTACAATAGGTGGCCGAAAGAACATGTACACACCATAAAACATGAAACTGGGTCCCCGCCTGACCTCAACAGGATGGGATCAAATCCCTGCAGCCATGCTCCAACTTCTAGTGGAAATCCTTCCCATGGGAGTGTAAGCAGTTATAGCAGCAAATGGATGAGCAGTTTCTTATTAATGCCAATGGCTTTGAAATTAAGTGTTCAACAAGCTCATTTGGGAGTAGTGTTTGGGTGTCTACTTACTTTTGACAGTGTTGTGTAGTTTAGGACAGATTATAGGCAATATTATGGACACATTGCAATTTATTAACATAGTCACACTTTATTTTAAAGTCCAATTCTCGCCATTAACAAACCATTAACTATGACTTGTGCCTCAATATACTACTAATTTGCTGCTTATTATTAGTTAGTACGGTAGTTGTTAAGTTTAAGTATTGGGTAGGATTAGGGATGTCAGAATATGTGCTTTATAAGTATTAATAAACAGCAACTAGTTAATAGTGAGAATTGGTCCCTATATTAAAGTGTTATACCATTAACACTTCTTCCGAATATCTTAATAATTGAGGTTATCAGCTGAACTATGATTCTGATTGAGCACATTGCTGGTGCACATCATAGGATTGGGAAACAAGAACCTGATCTGGTTATTATTGAAATCTGATTGGTTTGAATTAAAAAAATACCCGAATCAAATGACATCTGGTTCTGTTAACATATGACTCTTGTGAGCCGATTCTTTATAGTGAATCAAAAACAAACAGCGTAGTGTAGTCCAACTCATGAACAACTTACTCTGATGAGACCATTCTTTTTAGTTAATCAAAAACATAGCACAATCAGTGTAGTCTGACTCCCAAATGAATGACTCTTATGAGATGGTTCTTTTTAGTGAATCACAAACATATAGTGCGATCAGTGCAGTACAATTCGTGACTGAATTATTATCATGAGTCAGTTTTTTTAGTCAAGCAATAACATTAACAGGCATTAACTTTAAGTTTTCTAAATGTGGAAATTCCATATTCCATATTGTTTTTATATACAGTTTTATATGACCTAAAATGTACAGAAAACTTAAGGCATTTTTACAGTTTTAAGAAAAAAAACTCCTGTTTTGGGAGGTTTCATCAGATTTAGCTCACTTCTGGATACAAATTTGTCTCCAAAATATGGTTAAGTAGGTACACACAGAGAGCTCATATAACTTAAATTAGTAGCTGTTATGAAACAATATGCCGTTATTATGAGATGTGCCAGTATTATGAAATATGTTACTACATTTTTCTTTGTTTAGTGTTGTTGAATAATATAATGCCAATTATTGGACTGCATAACAGGATGTGTTTCCAACACTGTCCACATGGTTTTAAGGTCAGAATTAGAGCATGTAGTAAAGCCATATCACACCATATGAACGTTATGCTGATAGCACATTATTTTCCTGCTACCTCCGTTTTTTAACACATTTCACACTGTGATAGTACATCCAACAGCTTCAGCTTCTCTCATGCCTCACATGTTCTACCAATATTTTAATTAAAATATGTCTGTTTTAACTACACATCCTGAGTAGGTACACTGCAAAAAGAGATGTGTTAAAAATGACACGTTGTGCAGAATTAAAACTGCTGCAGAGGGATGCAATATGGCTCCAGGCTTAGAGTTAAGGGGAAAAAAACAA